TAATTCTCACGACGTTTCGGCCACAACGCAAGCAGCCGTCCTCAGGTGAAGAACATGTCTGTCGAGAAGACAGCGTTGTGAGAATTAGTTTATTATGTTTCATTTTTATTATTTTATTATTTCCATTCTAGGTGACTTTACCGAAAGAACCAAGAAGATGAATCCCTGCAGTCACGAAAGCTTTAAATTGAGATGGCAAAGTCGTAAATAACTGACACACAAAGACAATTCGATGCCAAGTATCGTGACTGTAATCATCAACATTGATATACCGATGCATCAATCACGTGCGTATTAATCAACAACGATCCCGTTAGAAGGGTGGCCCATTCTCCGTTATATCTATTTTAAGAATGTCATTCCTTGTAGAAATGAGTGCCCATCTCTAACCCACGACGCTACAGGCGTCTCGCCGACCCACGCGCCCCTCCTGTTGAGCCATGTTCGTCGCATAGGCAGTAAACGCGATATGTTCTTAAAATTCTTAGCGCCGGAATTTAAGCAAATTAAGTTACGAGGATGTGGGGGGGGGGGGGTTCCATGGAGTTAATTAAAAAACCCAGTTCAATCACGGGCGGCTGAAAACGAAATCAAATCCATAACTTAACTCAACAGCTGCCTCTTCTTTGTTCTTTCGGTAAAGTCACGTAGAAGGGAAATAATAAAATAATAAAAAGAAAACATTTTAAAATATTTATTATTATTTTATTATTTCCCTTCTACGTGACTTTACCGAAAGAACCAAGAAGATGAATCCCTGCAGTCACGAAAGCTTTAAATCGAAATTTAACAGCTGCGGTTTGACTACCCACAAATTTGTATGATGCTCTTCGGGCCCACAACCGTAGCAATGGCTGTGTCCCTCGAGTCAATAAAACCTTGGCAGACAAACTCTCTATTTACCTACCTATTCACCTCTATTTATGTTTCCAGGTAAGGCTCACTGAGCTAATATAGCTATTTTGTGTTAGAAGCGACCTGGCCACAAATGATAGTTCAACGAAGTGGCCGATCATCATTGTGGAAACGTATATCAGTCAAATACTAAATGCGGAGGGGCAAATCCGAGGACCCGAAGAAAAATCCACGCGTGCACGGGAAGAGAGACACGCAAACTCCAGGGTCTCTCGCTCAAACCCAGGAGCTGCTTCAACACGGGACGAACTCTCAAACACACGGTGCACTTTAATCAAAAACCCCGCACACTGGCAAAGACATCTGCAACCGTTACAGCTGGAAGGGTACACACTCCTCGATCCGGCCATCGCTACCTCATCATCAACGTGCGATGCCTATGAGCGCTGTGCCCTGGCCGTCTTTTTCCCGTCCTTGACACCCGAGTAACCGCAGTGACACTCCGGTGGTTAACGCGTTGGAGCAACACAACGGCGCACGCGGTGCCAAGTTGAAACATCGACGAAACATGATTGCGAATACGAGCCCCCGCTGTGCGTTCGCGGCGCACGCTTCGCTTGCAGCCCCTGGGCACTCGTGCAAACGAGACGTCCCGTCTCAAGATATCTATCCAGGTGAAATATAGACATTTTTATCGTGAATAGATAAGCAACGGCGTTGACCCTGAGCGCGCGCTGCCTCGAAGCTTTGCTTTCGACACCCGAGAGCCATCCGGTCACCCAAGCCGACGAGCCATTCCTGACACAAGAATAAATAAAAACTAAAAATTGTGGTTCTGCGTTGGCAGCGGTGGCAAGCGGCCACACATCGCCACGTGCTCATGACGGACGTGCCGAGATTGGGCTTTACATTTGCTCTCTCGTATCGGTCACTCGACCTCCACCCCGGCACAGCCAATCAGTAAGGTTTGTCACTTGGAACATAACGTGCCAATTTTAGTGGCTACTTCAGCACCGCCGGTTGTGTTGGACAGTAAGCCCACGAACAACATTTGCCAATTTGAGTTAACGACGCTTCGCCGGTGACTACAACAACAACAAAAACCCAGCATCACCAGGCGATTGCCAGAAACGTGAAGACGTCTTCCCGTTTCACGTCTTAAATAGAGTACGGTGAAGTCGTCACGTTCACGCGAAATAACGCAAACACACTTTATTGTGAATTGATATTGGGAGCGAGAGGCTCCCTCTCAAAACGGATCGGTGACCGTGAGCGATCTTCAAATCTGCATGCCGGGCAATAAGCCTCCCCCCACCCTCGACAGTATTGACCGCGCGTGGCTATCAACGCGCGCACGGCCGCGTGTATGGGGGTAGAGGGGGGTGAGTGAGTGAGTGCGCGCCTGCTCCACTTAGTAAGTCACTCCGCCTCCACGCTCAGCCCACTCACCGACTCTCTCTCCACGGTGGCACTCAGTGGCGACGTACCCCCCCCACCGCCCCTTGCCTCCCCTCCCCCCCCGACTATCTTCACACGACACAGACGCGCGCACGTACAAGTGTCCCGCCCCCCCTGGCCTCATCGGCCGTGGACAATGTATTCCAGCCATGGCCTCGTCGATGCCCACGACGCCACGTCTGAGACGGCCTCACGGCTGCCAGAGGCGTCCGTGAAGGTTTCAAGTTGAGCGCGGTGTTGACGGCCACACACACGCACACGAACAGATACACTCGTCCCTTTGCCCTCGATTCTTTTCATTCCTCCTCCGCCAGGTCCTCCAAGATGTTGCTTTCAGAGTCTCCCGCTAGCTGGCTCCTCCTGGGTGTCTCGCCGTCTTCCTCTTGGTCGAGAGGCTGGTGGCCGTGGTGGATCCGGAGGCCATGACAATCGGTATTTTGACTTAAAACTTTCGCGACTGCAGGAATTCATATGCTTTGGTTCTTTCGGTAAAGTCACGTAGATATAATAATAGTAATAAATAAAGTGAGTAAAATAATAAAAACAACAAAGGTTGTTAATTATTTTAATTTTTTTTTTTAATTCACTTTATTATTATAATTTTTCTATCTACGTGACTTTACCGAACGAACAAAAAAATATAATCGGTATTTGATTGCTATTTATTAGATAACATTTCTCATCGAGTTTTTAATAAAAAAAGTAATATAGGGCTCTCTTCATTAATCTTAAGATGTCGGGACTGATCCCCTCCCTCCCACATTGGAAGTTTCTAGATCTGTCTCGGACTCATGTGAGTGGTGATGGGGGGGTAGGAGGTGACCTCATGTTTAAACATCGCACCCACCACCCCCTCTGCTTCTGCTCATCTCCCTAGAGCTCACTCACATCTGCCCCGTTTCAAAACATACATAAAACAGCTCATGAATACCCAACCGATCCGGATGGGTGTTTTTTTTAAATATATATCTTATCGTGCATTTCTCAGCTGAATTATTTATGCAGGCGACTCTGCAGCCGCCGCTCTGTGCGACAGACGCCCGGCCGAGCGCGTGTCAGCGGGAGGAGGATAACGGGGACTTTTAACCCGAGCGTCAACAACAAAACAACACAGCAAACACACGGAAAGTTGGCTCAGAGGGCACGAAGACCCCCGCCCGTGTGTAGCCTTCAGTAGACTCTTGGGGCAAGTGCCGTTAGCGAGTAGCGAGCACCTAGTGAAGGCCGGCCACTACGCGCGGAGGAGATGGGTGGCCGCCACCAACACGTCCGGCCGCCTCTGTCTATTCCACACCGAGTCGACCTAGGGGGGGGGACGCCCAGCAGCGGTCCAAGATTCTCGTCACTGGTGTTGACCGTGAGCGGGAATTGAGCTCGAGTCGCCGGGTCCGCAGAGCAGCGCAGCGCGCTAACCGCTGTGACACCGCTCCCCCACACTCGTGGCAGGGCGTGGTGCTGGCCACCCACCCCCTCGTGTGCCGTGCCGGCCTTCATAGGTGCTGCTACTCGCTAACAGCGCTTCCCCCAACACAAAGCGCACGCACACACACGCACACAAACTCCAACAACAGAATGAGCCACGAAGTTGCGGTGACGTCGCCACGGCGCTTGTGCCAGGCTGAGTGCACTTTGATTCCACGTGAAATGTCGATGGCTCGCTGGCACGAGGTCACAGGACAGACCCAGGTGCTACGGGTTGACTGAGATGACCGGCATATATAAATACATACACGCACAAAGATTCATCCACGTAACCTTATACAGACTGTTGGGGAAAGTGCTGTTAGCGAGCACCTATTAACGCCAGTGCAGCACAAGACGGGGGGGGGCGCTGTGGTCACCACCACGCCCAGCCGCCTTTGTTTCCCCAGTACGGATGTTTATGCACCGTAACAGATACTTTTTTAAGGCCGAGTCGATCTAGAAGAGGTCCAGATCCAGTTCAAGTATTCGCCGCTATTATTATCATTATTGCAGTTATTCGTGAGCGGCAATCAAACTCGGGTCGCCGGGTTCGTAGAATAGCGCGCGAACCGCCACGTGCACACGCAAACAAAGACAAAGATCCCCCGTATAGCCTTAACAGACTGTCGGGGCAAGTGCTGCTAGCGAGCACCAATGAAGGCCGGACCGAACACACGCGGACGCACAGACACATCACGCGCGCTGTCGTTTTACGCACCCCGACACAGCCCTCTGTGACTGGAATGGCCTCTGACTGTAACGGGGGTGACATCGAGGCCGCGTTGAGGACAGGGGTCGGTAAACCACAACAACAACAACGAGGAGCCATTTTTTTCGAATTCGGTAAAAACGCCGATATTTCAAAAGCCGCAATTTATTGTTGGTGAATCGGAGACGGTGGCTCCTTAATAAATAACGGTCACGAAGCATTTTTCGATTTAAAGTTTTCGTGACTGCAGGGATTCATCTTCTTGGTTCTTTCGGTAAAGTCACGTAGAAGGGAAGTAATAAAAAAATAAAAATAAAACATAATAAAATAATTCTGACGACGTTTCGGCCACAACGCAAGCAGCCGTCCTCAGGTGAAGACTAGGTCTGTCTTTCAGACGCTGTCTCCCCAACAGACCTGGTCTTCACCTGAGGACGGCTGCTTGCGTTGTGGCCGAAACGTCGTCAGAATTATTTTATTATGTTTTATTTTTATTATTTTATTACTTCCCTTCTACGTGACTTTACCGAAAGAACCAAGAAGAAGGTCACGAAGCAGTCACTCAACGAGCCGCATGCCGCTCCGGATCCACAGGTTGCCGATCCCTGCCCACGGTAAACTGGACTACCATGGTGAACTGGACTACCATGGTGAACTAGACGTCCATGGTGAACTGGACTACCATGGTGAACTAGACGTCCATGGTGAACTGGACTACCATGGTGAACTAGACGTCCATGGTGAACTGGACTACCATGGTGAACTAGACGTCCATGGTAAACTGGACTTCCATGGTGAACTAGACGTCCATGGTGAACTGGACTTCCATGGTGAACTGGACGTCCATGGTGAACTGGAGGTCCATGGTGAACTGGATGTCCATGGTGAACTGGACGTCCATGGTAAACTGGACTTCCATGGTGAACTAGACGTCCATGGTGAACTGGACTACCATGGTGAACTAGACGTCCATGGTGAACTGGACTACCATGGTGAACTAGACGTCCATGGTGAACTGGACTACCATGGTGAACTAGACGTCCATGGTAAACTGGACTTCCATGGTGAACTAGACGTCCATGGTGAACTGGACTTCCATGGTGAACTGGACGTCCATGGTGAACTGGAGGTCCATGGTGAACTGGATGTCCATGGTGAACTGGACGTCCATGGTGAACTGGACTACCATGGTGAACTAGACGTCCATGGTAAACTGGACTTCCATGGTGAACTAGACGTCCATGGTGAACTGGACTTCCATGGTGAACTGGACGTCCATGGTGAACTGGATGTCCATGGTGAACTGGATGTCCATGGTGAACTGGACGTCCATGGTGAACTGGACTTCATGGTGAACTGGACTTCCATGGTGAACTGGATGTCCATGGTGAACTGGACCTCCATGGTGAACTGGACTTCATGGTGAACTGGACTTCCATGGTGAACTGGACTTCCATGGTGACCTGGACGTCCATGGTAAGGGATCGCCAACCAAAATAACACATTTTTTTCGAGTGCCAAGAGCCGCACTGCAGCCCTTCAAGAGCCGCATGCGTCTCTGCAGCTGCAGGTTGCCGACCGCCTGGCCGAGGAGGACCATTCACTCCAGCCTGGGGCGAATGGGTGGTAGGGGGGGTGGGGGTGGTGGTGGGGGAGGCAGTGGGAGGTGGGGGCGGTCACTCTGGGAAAGGCACCGGTCATCGGCAACGACATCAGCGGCACAGCGAGCCTCGTCACGAGCGGCCTCGTCACCCGTGACGCTCGTTTCTCGATCGCTGCCACAGCCGCCGTGGCCGTTGCGCTCCTCCGGAGGGGCCAGCGTCACTCGCAGGGTGTCCGTCAGCAGGCTCAGCGAGTCCACGGCGTCTTGCGTCAGGGGGTTCGCGGTGACGATCAGCGACGCGAGGGAGGGCATGGCCGCGAGCTTCTCGGCGGGGAGCTCTGCGGGAGAGAGATTGGACGGACGTCTTCAGAATATTAATGCGTTGACCAAACTTCTTTCGTACCGTACGTAGCAAACCGCGCGAATCGGAGGTGCGGGGGAAGGACAACAAACTATACACAAAACGCATTTTTTAAAAAGAATTTCGTTTTCAATCGAGATGATTTCAAACTGCATAGCGCAAGTGGTTTCCTAACATCGGAAGGAAGAGCGTTCCAGACGGCCACGTAAACACATCCGAAAGTGCGCGATGCAGTGACCGTCTTTATACTGGAGGAATCCGATAAGCTATAAAGCTCGTTTTCACAGATCTCCAGGAGGGGCGGGTCAGAACGTTACAACAAACAATACAAAAACACAATAAGAGTGCATATGAAAGGTAAACGAATCACTTAAAAAATAACAATAAAGAGAAACAATGTTTTGTAATTGTACCAGGTAAAGCCCAACCAAGCTATTGGTTTTGTTTGTTTGTTCAGAAGCGAACTGGCCATCACAAATGATCGCTCAATCGAGGTGGCTCGAGCCATCGCGCGGAAATCCACAGCGGCAAAATGAATCTCGCCCTAAATCAGGTTTACAGCGAGCGGCTGCGGGCAGACACGCGGAGGGACGCGCGGAGGGACGCGCTGCGAAGCCACCAAGCCACCAGCGGCACCCCTCGACGCGTGGCTTCTCCACCACCCCCTCCTCCTCCTCCACCACCCCCTCCTCCTCCTCCTCCACCACCCCCTCCTCCTCCTCCACCACCCCCTCCTCCTCCTCCACCACCTCCTCCTCCTGCGCGGCGTCGAAATACAATCAGCGTAGCCTGTAACTGTGCGGTGGGCCCACATTTGACGCGGCGGCAATGGATAACGATGGCCCCGGGCGCAAGGCATTCTCACACCGTTGATGGCCGGCTGGTGTCCCTAAAGTCCCACACTAGTTTATTGGAATATATTAAAAAGAGAGACTGGTGCGTGGGGGTACGGAGAGGTGGCGAGGGCTTGGGGGAGGCCTTCATCCAGCAGTGGATCGACCAAAGGGCTGATGATGACAATGTCGTAATTAACTGACACTGACATACAAAGACAATCCGATGGTATATAATGGTATATATAAAATGCCATATATATACCATTAATGGTATCTATAAAACATACTTTATGGACACGCTCTATATAAAACAACGGCTGCCAACTCCCAACAAAAAGGCACTCATCCCAACGCAGCTCCACCCCACCCACCCCTCGCTTAACGAGGCCTGCAGGCAGCAACAACAACAACAACAAACTGGCATTTGTACGTGAAAGTAATTCATTCGGGCAGCAGAAGTATTTCACTTGTAAACAAATGTAATCAAGATTTATCGCTCACAGCGCGATAACGAGCGCGCGCGCACAACGCAATGCCAGATTAGCACCGCACGCACGCGCTTTGGGAAGCGGGAGGGTGAGTGAGCGGGAGGGAGGGTGAGTGAGCGGGAGGGCGAGCGAGCGGGAGGGAGGGAGGGTGAGTGAGTGAGCGGGAGAGTGAGCGAGCGGGAGGGAGGGTGAGCGAGCGGGAGGGAGGGTGAGTGAGCGGGAGGGCGAGCGAGCGGGAGGGAGGGAGGGTGAGTGAGTGAGCGGGAGGGTGAGCGAGCGGGAGGGTGAGCGAGCGGGAGGGAGGGTGAGTGAGTGCCAAGACGCGTTGCTACTACGAACCCCGGCAAACCGAGTTCCATTCCCGCTCACGGCCGATAACAGTGAGGAACGTTCGAACCGGTTACTGGACCTCCCTTAGGTCGGCTCAGCCATAAATGAGTAGCCGGTGCGGTGTGTAAACAACGGCACTGGGGATACACAATAGGCGGGCACCCACCCCCTCTCGTGTGCCCTGCCGGCCTTGATAGGTGCTCACTAAACAGCACTTGCCCCAACAGCCTGCCGAAGGCTATACGGGCGTGGGGGATCTTTTGCCTTTGTGCGCGCGCGAGCATCACGAACCGCTGATGTAAACACGATCCTGGCAGGGCCGTGTTTATAATTTAATTTGTCACGAAGCTTATTTATTAACGGTGTCAGTTTGTGTCACGCGGCAGAGACAAAGCCATAAAACTCCCATAATCCACGGCGGCAGCCGTCCAGTCAGCACAATCGTCCCGCCACGCGGCAATTCAATTTGATGTTGTGACGATATTTGGCTTCTGCGTCCTGGGTCAAAGAAGGGGGAAGAAAAAACGAAGACTCCGGAATTTCCACTCACGGCGAGATGGAGGAGATTCACTCGCGATAATTAAGTGCGGGAGAGGCACGAGCGATGACGCGCCGGGCAAGGTGGTCCTGTGTCTTCTTGCGATGTCGACTTCACAAGCTCGCTTCTCCTGTTGTGATGACGTTTGTTGTTGTTGTTGGTGGTGGTGGTGCCGTTTGTTTACGTGCCATTTCTTGATTTGTTGATTAAGTTTTCGTTTTCTGAGTGATTTCCACTTGCTTGGTAGTTTAGAATCAGGATCTGCACTTATACTGGAGGAATCCGATGAGTTATGAAGCTCTTTTTCACAGATATCCAGTAGAGGCGGGTCAGAACGTTACGACAACAAACAATACAAAGACACGGTAGGAGTGCAACGTATAGGAAAGGTAAACAAATCACTTAAAAATACACAAATAAAACTAAAATATAGTTTTTTATTACTAGGTAAGACCCACTGAGGTATTAACTTGTTTTTCAGAAGTGGCCTGGCCACGTAAGATAGCTCAACAAAGTGGCTGATCGTGTGGAAAGTTATCGCAGCAAAATAATCAAAATCTCAATGTATGATTTTAAATGTGTTATACATACTTCCCCCGCACCTACGTTGCGAAGAAGTTCAACATATACGCATACACACAAAGACCCGCAGACACCAACATCCATAGAGACACACACAGAGACCCACAGAGACCCACAGAGACCCACAGATTAGCAAGGTTGGCTACCTAGAGTGCGAGAGAACTTCAACATACGCACATACACACAAAGACCCGCAGACACCAACATCCATTAGAGACACACACAGAGACCCACAGAGACCCACAGAGACCCACAGATTAGCAAGGTTGGCTACCTAGAGTGCGAGAGAACTTCAACATACACACATACACACAAAGACCCGCAGACACCAACATCCATAGAGACACACACAGAGACCCACAGAGACCCACAGATTAGCAAGGTTGGCTACCTACAGTGCGAGAGAACTTCAACCTACACACATACAACCGCACGGTAAGTCACAACGACTCACTCACTCACCCACCTGCTCACCTGCTCACCACACTGCAGGTCACCTCACTTCTTTCCTCGCACAGCCCCCAACTTTGGAATTCCCGTTTCCCATCTTCTACCTCTCCCAGGCCCTTGTAGTAATAATAGTCTCGCTCAAATTTTTATTTAAAGCTTTTGTGACTGCAGGGATTCATATCATTGGTTCTTTCGGTAAAGTCACGTAGAAGGGAAACAATAAAAAAATAATAAAAATACTAATAAATTAAAAATAATAAAAATATATAAAGCAATATTTTTTTTATTTTTTATTTTATTGTTTCCCTTCTATGTTACTTTACCGAAATAACCAATAATATGAATCTCGCTTAATTCCAGAAAAAACGCTTAACCCTCTCATCTGTGGTGTTTACAACTTTCACGGGTGCTGTTTGTTGCCGGCCGTTTCGCGTTAGGGGTGCAGGATGGGGGGTGGGGGGGAGGATTTTTGTCGCCTGCGCTCAGCCACTGCGTTTAGAACATAATACAAGTGATAAGCAGTCACTTGGAGGAAGGGAAATGGAGCGAACGGCGTATCGACGAGTTGTGTGCCCAGCGCACGTTTCGCTCCGTGACGCCAAATCTCGCACGCGACCTTTCGCGATGACGAACGACCCCTCGCTTCTGTTCGCGGCTACAATGCGACCATTTGAATAATCCTCCCGCGCGAAACTTTCTCGCTCGGACCGCGCGGACGGATCGAGGCGGCCGCGGCGGCGGCTGCTGCGGTGGCGAGGAAATCATCGCGACGTGGGGCGTACAGTGGCACAGACGTGGGGCGTACAGAGGCACAGGCGCCAGCCCCTGCAATTGACAATTGCCCGCTCGTGCCACTGCTTGGCCTGAAGGGCCTCCACTCGAGGCCCGCTCTTGGGAGCCCCCCATATAGCGATCAATGTTCTGGAAGACTCTTCCACGCTGGACAGCGGCTGATTCTGGGTGGGGGGGGGGGGATGAGGGTGATCAACTCCCCCCATCCCCGCTCCCACCGCGCCCCCGCCTTAAGACCCCAAAACTAGTATTTTAAGGCCCTATTCGAGATGCCTGAAATTCCAGGATCGTTCCCCACTCTCGTAAAGGTTGGAGATGCGCCTCGGCTGCCTTTTTACTTTTCATTTTTTTATTTTGACTTATGACTTCACCTTTCTTTATGCTATTCGTTGCGCGCAGTTGCAATTGACTCTGCTCAGTCGGTGTTGGCCGCCGAGGTCGTGACGGGTTTCTGTTTTTCTTTCCTGTTGCTCCGTGCCCCCCGGTACCACCGTTCGCGTTCCCCTCCAATGTGCACCGACGCCCACTTTATTGAGGGCGATATTGGCACGCGGAATAAAGAGTGCTTGATTGATTGGGTAGACGTTGTGAGCAGCCACACTGTAGCCCACCACACGCTACGTGCCGATCGACTGCCTGTCGCGCACCCCATGCACGCTGCTGGGTGAACAGGGGCGATGTGGGGAAAAGGAGCGGGGGATTTTAAGAAAGCCAGCAGCCCCCGCCATCCCTCCCGTTGCTTCGACTGCCGCGCCAAGAGATGGGAGTCGAACCGGCCGAACCTCTGCATTGCATCGCGCTGACCGTTACGCTGCGACGTCCCACCGAGTGGCGGACGGGAGTTTTTTTTTGCCTCGATGGTGGACCAAAACACAATCGCAGCGGCTGAAATAGTTCTAATTGCATTATAAATACTGCATGAGGCTCAGAGCGATTCCTTGAAGTGTTTGCTCTGCGGGGG